TTGCGGAAAAAAGGTCGAGCAAGAATCAGAGAGCCGCGAGAATCGACGACGGCCTCTCGATGAGAGAAGCCTCTCGGCGAGAAGACTCGGGCCGAGAGAGAGAGAGAGAGAGACGCGATATAATGCGGGACGGCGAGCATATCGGCGCGTGTTCATTACGCGCGTTTACCGTTAGCTTAAGTTTAACTTGTTTGCGGTAAATGCAGCCGTAATGTCTGCGGTGTGCTAGACGGTGTGCTGCTGCTAACGTAATCAGATTATTCGCCGGGTGTCCAATTAACGAGACTAATCTGAAATTGAAATTCGCCCCGGCGACGAGTGTAACGCGCGACAATCGTCACACACCAACGTTATTCGATTATTCGCGGCGCACGGTAATTTTTTGTTTTGTTTTTTTTATCGAAACGCGCGCGGCCGGTGGCGGTCGACAGCTTATCGGATACATTCGGCTCCTCTCTGTTTGTTTGGCCTCCCTCGACTCGGTATCAAATTAGAACTGCTTTCTATCTGACGTCCGCCCCGCCCCGAATGCAGCTTCCGAATCCCGAACTGACCTGTCCAAAGGGCCGACCACCCTAGAACAGAAACGAGCTAAGGTCACCACGTGACCGCAAGACATATACCTGCGGGCATCACGGAGTCGCGATATGATTCTCCCCCGGTGAACGTCGTCCGGTGACTTGCACAAATTCATCGAGATGAGATATCATTTCGACGCGCGAACAAGTCGGGGATTAACGTAAATCCGGAGTAACTTAATTCCGTTTCGTAGTAGCGCCGACGGTGGTGGTTGTAGTTGGCCGGAGGATCGATTTATCGGAGTTTCGAGGCGCAACTCCCTTCCCCCTCCGTCCGTGGTCGTTAGTCGATCGCGGCGGATCGCTCGGACGCGGCTAGAAAAACAGCCGCCGCGCGGAATCTCATCCTTATTGGATTACCAAAGGAACAATCCTAAGACCCGCTAACGAGACCCCGCGGACCCGCAGGATCCGCGATAGATATCCTAATGCGTCCTGACAGGCGTGCCGAGGTACGGCAGGTCGGCGCCTTTCCAAACTATCCGCCGCAATTATCCGAAATCTCTGTCGGCTTATTTTTTCTCTCTCTTGTTCTCTTTCTCATCGCTCGCTCCTCCGCTGGCGCGGGACCTTCCGGAGGACTCGCCATTGTCCGGCATCGCCGTTCCGTGTTTTTCTCTCGCTGGTAGATGCGAGCTGAGATAAAAGTTTTGACAAGTGCACTCCGGGCCCGGCAACTGTGGTAGTGAACGCGAACCGTAGTAACGCGGAGATGAGAGGGAAAAGAGAGCGAGAAAAAGAGAGAGGGGGAGGGGGGTGCGACCGGGTTTGGCCGAAACTCGGAAGGACTATTTACCCATTTCCACTCTTGGAATTTAATTCTAAAATAAACGATCCGTTCTCCACGCTAGAGCCGGAGCTAAAGCGTCGCGTCGAATTTACGTCTTGGGTGAGACGATCGCGCTCCGATCGAACGAGCAACAGAAACGGTGCGCCATGCCGTTCAACGGCGAATTAACATATTCACTCGTGTGACAAAGTCAGCGCATTGTTTGTATCGCTGCAAGGTCGCGATTGCGTCGATAGCACAGTCATCGTCGTCGTTGTGCTCTAATGTTTATCGAACTTTCGAATGCGCTCAAGGTTGCATTCGTCAAGTGGAAAACTGTCTGGGATATGGAGGAAAAAAACGAGGTTAACGTTGGAAACCGCCGCATATCGCGTGTGTGTTAAGGTATGTAAATCGGCTCGGCAAGCCGACTCTTGGTCGAGCGCGGTGCGAAAGAAAAAAAAAGAAGGAAGAAACTATAGAGTACAGGCTCGCGTAATGGTTCGACGTGTTACTACGTAATCACTCGAAAAACTGACGGCGAGGCGCATACCGACTTATCGTCGATCCGAGACGGTTTTATCCAGTCCTTTACCGGTTCGTTCACCCGTCGGATGGCCTCAAGTATCCGGTTGCCCCGATTAGGGAACGCCATACACCGCGTGTGCACCGTCTCGCGTTCGCCGCCTTCGACTCGGGGAAAATGAAATCCTGATTTTTCGATCGACCGACCTTACATATCGATCCGTCCGGCAGTTTGAGCGTCGTGAAATTTTAGAGACTACCGTCCGATCGGCGTCTCGGATCGCTCAATTCCTTCTCTCTCTCTCTCTCTCTCTCTCTCATTTTCTCACATGGCAACCGCTCGAAACTGTGTCGATTCTAATTGGCTATAGTTATGCAAGAAGGTTCCAATTTACATGGAATACGTTTCGAGAAAAACGAAGATGAAAATTTGAAATATAAATTAAAAAATATAAATAGCGCAACTTCTTCACAATCGTTCAAGAAGTCAACCATTTTCTCCCGTTAAATGGTATTATTCATTGACAAGCTTAACCTTTAAAAAAATGGATAAAATGGACGCAGCTAAAAAAATGTCCCAACTAATAGAATATAAAAATAGTTTTTTTATTTATAAAGATACATGTATTAAATGGCTAATGGTGCATAGATGTCTTAGCGTCATATTTAATATTAATATTAACATTCTTTATTAATAATAACATTAATGTTATCATGTGGGAGGGTAAAGAAGATGTCCATCGTATATTTTTTAAAATTTTAGCCGTCCATAAGGCTTGGAACTTCTCGTTTCGCGTATAAAAGCCCAAATATACTATCCACTGGTGAGAAAATCTTCAAAACAGTCTCAAGAATAAAAATGATGATTTTTCTTCTCGCATAACTACGGCCGATTAATCGAGCGGTATCAATCGAAATGACCGACTATGGCGTCGGTAGATGCGCTCTTTCTCCTTCCCAATTTAACGCTAAGACGCTCAAGTTAGAAGGGCCGTTCCACAATATCGCGGCCGCGAGAAAAGATTTCCGACGTGTCGCGGCAACGGGCGAGCGAGCGAACGAGCAGCGCGAGACACGGCGAGGCGGAGCGTAATAAAAATAAGTAATTACTGCAAGTAATCCTCCCCTCTACTCCCCCGCGACGCGCTCTTCTCCTTGCTCTCTGTCTGTCTCGCTCTGGCCGCGCTCGCGCGAGTCGTTCAATTAACGGGAATACTGTTGTCTTCCCACCCAAACCCTCTCTTCCACCTCGGGTGCTCTCCTCCCCGTCCGTCGCGCGGCCACCCCTCCTCCTACTCTCCATCGACCCCTCTCGCGCCCGCGTCCACAAAACCCGCGAAATGTTTCACTCGCAAAGTCGCGTGGAGCGCGCGCCGCTCCTCTCTGTTCGCGGGGGGAAAGGGGTCCCGCGGCGTGGAGGGACCGGTATCGATGCCCCTCCTTCACTCACGCCCCTGACGTCCATCTATCCACCGCACCCTCCGCCGCTGCCGCCGCTGCGGTTCCGAAGACCGCGCTCCATCCCTCCCGCGCGCCCGGTCCTCGTCCTCACCGCGCGCGCCGCTCTCTCGCGCTCTCTCCTGCTCTCCCCCGCTACTTTGATGCGCGCCGCTCGGTGGGGGGCGCCGACGACGCGGCGGCTCCTCCGGCCGCCACTCGTTCGCCCGACACCGTGCACCGCGGATCGGTGTGTTCCGTCGCCGCCGTTTTCTGCGTGTGTCTCTCGCGCGCGCGAGAACGTTCTCCCCGGTTTGCCTTGAGAGAGAGACCGTCGAGCGAGTCGAGGTCATGTTCGCGGAATGTGTCACGCAGAGCTCCATTGAGTTCCGTTCTCCGAGGTGAAGCCACGCGGCTGTTCGTGTTCCGCGACACAGGTGGTATCTCGGGGGTTAACGTGAGGAGGCTGCGTTTCGGTGAGATCGCGAGTGTGTTATCCGGAGTGTGTTTACGATCCGAATGTGTTTACGAGCCAGCCTCTGATACGCGAGCCTCGAAGGATATACCAAAGGACGGGACGGACTCTCCTTGTGTGTACAATGCGATATCGACTGAACGCTTCGCGCACGCGATCGCGAATGGATCGTGTGAGAGAAGTGTGCGCGCCGTCCTACTGATCCTCGCCGAAGGACGAGAACCTCCTCGCGAGGAGACCGCGCGCGCGCGTCCGCGAGCCTGAGAAGCGGAGACGTCGCTCGCTCGCGGGTTCACGGCGTGCGTGCGTGCATCCGCGCGAGATCGATAGCCCGTGTGTGTGTGGTGGTGGCGGCGGACAGGACGAAGGATCCTCGCACGAGGACTCGGCGGGACACCTGCGATGCCGTCGCCGCGCGGCGCGCCGTGACCACGACGCCGTCCCGATCTACGCGCGCGCCGATCCAGGGATCTCGCCTAGTGACGGGGAATAAAGTGCGATCTCACCTTCGGAGGATTTTGCGAGCGATCAGCTGAACAGCCTACGCATGCCGGCGATCGCGGTGAGTGACGCATCCACGTCTCGCGGCAGGGAGGGAGGGAGGGAGTTTATCTGTACGCGTAAGATCTACGTCGCCGATAAGCGTCGTGTCACTCTCTCTCTGTCTTTCTTCCGATGAGTCCCGTGTTGATTCGCGCGATTTCTGTCGATCGAAGCGCGTCACGCGGAGGAAATCATGAACGCGTAGGATATTTCATGATAATTGCGATTTGATGTACCGGAGAGACTTTTTGAGACGGTTTTATAGGACGGGACAAAGTTACGCCCGATGGCATCGATGGAGGAGGGAGATTATATCTCGGCATTAATGAATGAAAAATAAAACGAGGGTCCCCGGTGGAGCGTTCGATGGAAAAAAAATCGAGGCCTCTGCTGAGATTATTATCCGCGGCCTCGCTTTATATCGTATGAAAAAAAATGACGTTCATTGAATATAAATTCAAATGGTATTCATAAACTTATGATGTATTTAAAAATTAAAATATCCATTGCGAATGTAAGCACCGTCTCTCTATCTATCGGGAAATATATATCTATAAATGAAAAATTAATGGGCCGGTCACACATGAATTCAGATTTCACCTGTTTATGCGTTTGTTAGTTAAATATTAAAAGCTCCGGCAGATAATATAAATTAAAAAATTATACGCCTCCGCGCGAATATGAATTCACATTTTATTGTATATAATTTGTACATAGAAAGTATAAATTAAAAATCGAAGGGCGCTTATACGATTTAAATCCGAATCTCATTTATTTACACACGCCATAATGAAACATTTCGCGTTTCGTGGCAAATATGTATTTAAAAATTAAAATCCTCATCGCAAATACAAGTTTTTACATGTACACGAGAGGGCACGTATTTTTCATCGAGCGTCTCTTCCATCTCCTTTTTTTTATTATCCACTCGTCCACTACGTATCGCCTCGATCGGTGTCTACGATCCTTTTTTGGGATACTTGTCGTCTACCTGCAAATGGGAAAACATTGTCCCCGTATAGTCTCTGTCCCTGTCGGCGGAAAGGGTTAGTGTCCACGTGTGAAGTCCTCGTTTACACAGCAGCAATCAAAATATTTCTCGTTCTTCGAGCAAAGTTCCCGCGTTTGTAGCCACGGGAGTGACGTTAACCCTCGGGGGTTTAATGTCCATCAGCCCGGCATGCGTTTGTCGCAGTTCTAATCCAGCTGCGTACCCGCGGTGGTAATTTCATCCCTCCCCATCCCTTAGATACACTCGCGTTCTTAGATCAGCAATTTCGCTCGAAATCTCGCGGGCTTTTAAACGATCGACGATTCTCGGGGGAGATCTTTTCTGTGTGTGTCCTCGAACACACGGGTGTTGATGAATATTCCCGGACATTTGTTTCAAGAATTCGTTTCGGAGCCGCTGATCGCCGTCGCGATTTCCACGGTCGGGAGTATTTTCCGCAAGCGGAAGCATCGCGCCGACCGATAGCTAGGAGAAGACTGAGAAGAAAATTCCGAGTAAGCTTGCGAGAGAGAGCGGGCACACGCAGGCGCGTCCGCTGCCACGTGGTCGTCGCGGATCCGAGCGACTAGGTGTTAACCTTTTTCGAAAATCGACTGGCTACGTACCGCCGCCGTCGTGGCGCGGAAGGCGAAGGGCGTCGCGTCGCTTTGGCAAAACAAGTAGTTACGTGAGCCCTGGCTCCCCGCCAAGCGGTTTTCAACTTTCGAGTCGAAGCCGAATATTCTTCGCGACACTGGCCTACACGTTGCTCTTCGTTGCGTAAAACGTAAGGTTCGTTGTCGCGAGACTAATTTTCCAATCGTCCGAATCTCATTTTCTTTTTCCCGCTCAGTCGCCGACTTTGAAAATAGCTAAGAAAGAGACCTGCGAATGATTCCTCGGTGTCGCGCGTTTCTGCAATCTCCAGCTCTATACGTGGCATAATTCCCCCTCACGTGATCTCTTCTCTCGCGAGAGGAGATATCTCAATCCCGGATGTCGTCGCGACGCTTCTGCGTCGCGTTAAGCGGATAAGATATTCGCCCAGCTACCGTTTCTTTGGCACGCGCTTTCTATTAGTTATGCGAGATTAACTGCAAATTGACACGACGCGCTATTACCGTGCGTGTGCGATTTTCAATTAAACTCAGCTGGCTTTTCTTCTCAAACACCGGCGGATTCTAGAAAATTACTCTCTCGAATTGAATCTGCGAAAATATCGCTAACTAAATGAGTTAAACGATATTGTACCGATAATCCGTGAGCTTTCCCTCATTTTTAGCGGAAACACTTCAGCTTAACTCTTCTTTTGTCTCATACCGCGTTCATTTCGGCCGGTGAAAGTGATTCACTGCAAATCGCTATAACACGCGTTCTATAGCGGAAATACGCATACATATATATACAGTCGTATGTTGTATTTGGCGTAGTTCGTATAGCAGCAGATTCAAGAGCTAGAAGTTTCGGGTTCGAGTCTCATCAGATAGAGTGTTCTTCAAATACGATGTGAATTAAATCAATTAAACATGATTATATATAAGAAAGTTTCAGGTAAAATCATTGATAATACATTAAGAATGTGATTAAGATGATAAAGAAAAAAATGTACTAAATGATACTTTTTTCATTGTTTCTGCAGTCAGATTTCCCTGAATAGAAACTGTCGCTGTTACTTTGGCAGACTTTTTCAGCAAAATTTCATTAATTTACAGTTCTATATTTATAATTATACTTATAACCTCTAGTGACTGATTGATTCCTTTTCAGTGGTAATACACTGCACGTTAGAGAATACAGCTATTTTCGGCGTGAAACATATTTTATAGTGGCAGCAACATGCATATAAGGTTATTATCACTGACAGTGATGCAACACTTGCTAGAAAAATGATCCTTTTGATTATTTTTGCGATTAAAATAGAAAAGGCTATATTTAGCGCTTAAAATAACTATAATTTTTATCAGTGTACACCGTGGCATAGAATCTCACGAATAATAACCACTTGACGACGCTCGTTTCGTAATTTTTCGTTATCATATGTAAGTACATAAGTATGCAAATAGAACGAGAAACCGTCTACGTTCTCGAGAACGATACCGCAGACACATCTCGCGCGATATTATCTCACGACAGATACTCCCGTGAACGGCCGATCGAACCAATTAAAGTCTCACGGCCGATGCAATCAGCGGCGCGAGGCGGTATCAGTCTATTAGTCTGTGATTGTCTGTAATTCCGCGGATCATACCTGCCTCGAGACGTCCGACGAGATTTCCGAATCCACATCGCGAAGATCGTCCATCGGCGTAGCCGGGATTTCAGCGGAAAAATAACAGAAAGTATCCGCGCGACACTAAATTCAGACCGCGGCGCGGTGCATCGCAGACGACCTTTTTTCCTCTCACGTTATTGCACGCTCGTAAGGAATCACGGTTAGCGAAATTATTTTTGAAGGCGGATATAAGGCGTGCGCGCGTGTTATAACTCGTAAGGAAAGTTGCTCGAATATGAGTGCGCGCAACGTACGTATAAAATATTTCCGACGTCGCGATATTAGTTCGCCGACTATTTTCAGTTTGGCAGGGAACTACCGACGGCGCGTTTACACGCCGCTATCGCAGCACAAGGTTGCCCTCGCGAGAAGAGGAAGAAGAAGACGGGCCCAGGTGATCTGTCTTTTGTCGCTAGTATCCGACGATACCGATCATGCGCTCATCCAAATATAGCGCGCAACGAATGAGAATTAATGCGACACCAGCTGCGCGTCCACCTTTTTTGTATACACACGGACGATAGTAAATATATTATTCGGATGGCAATTTTCTCTCTCGCTGTTGTAGTCGCCGACAACGTGCCGCTTTTACAAACGAGACACCGCGTATATTCCGCTGATTAGAAACTAATGAAAAACGAGAAAAGTCACGTGCAAATGGTGTCGCGCGGAAATCAGGTCAAGTTTAACGAAAAGTACGAGTTGCGTGAAAAACGTCCGGCGAGTGTGTCGAGACAAGTGACATCCCGCCCTCCCTTTTAAAGTACGATACCCCCGCTCGGGGCTGAAGGATTGTGCTCACGACCGTTTTGGGGATGACAGCCGGGTGCGAGCGGCGCGCGCGCTCTCGCTGCTACGTCCGCGCACGAAGATATACTTAACTTTTAATTACTATCATATAACTAATTAGCCCCGGTGGGCGGGGGGTTTTGTATATTAATTTAATTTTCAATCTCACAGGGTAATTCTTGGCGCAACGTTAGTTTTAATCAACCCTCCGACGCGCTGCTCCACACGCCAGCACGGCTCCCGCAGGCGGTGGGAGAAGCGTGGGGGTGTCGGGGAATAGGAGCGCGGAAGGGAGAGTAGGGAGGCAAGGGGAGTCGGTCGGTGGCTAAGGGTGACTCGGAGAGTGCTCGGGGGTGGAGTTGAGGGGCAACGGTGGAACGGAGTACACCTACTCAGCTAATAAAAAGCGGCAATAAAAAGCACCCCTTAGGACCACTATGGATATCTCGCTCTCCTTCTGCCCCCCCGCCGCCCGTCCCGCTCGCCTACACCGCGCCGTATTTCTTTCTCTGTCTTTGTGTGTACCAGGTTTATTCACCTGCCCGGGATTAACTTTAATCAAGTATTTACATTTTAATTCGCTGCCATGTACACTCAACCGAGCCCGCCCGCTTACCCGCCCTTTACGATAACATCGTCGTTTAATTGCAAACTGCCACTTTCCGACGACGAGACGTCTGCTAGCGCGAGCTAGCTGGCGCGAGTCGATGTCGATTCCACCCCCGCCTGAAACCGCCACGATAATGAGGACGAAGACAGTTCGCGTTTGTCAACGTTCGAGAATTCCGATGAGGGTTATTCCGAGTTAGAGAAAAAAAAAAGAGAATACGCGAGGATCGCGGATAGGAGAGAGAAGAATAGGACAGAGGGAAAGAGACAAATCGTATTTAAACGGTTACATCATGTTTATTGTTGAAAAATACGTGAGTCACCGCGCGCTAGTCAATAAACATGTGGGCGCCGTATATTTCCCCGAATGTGTCGTCTATTGATAGCTCTTTCGTCCGGTCTCCATCGTTGATAACGGTTCGAGCGGGCGAAAATAAGCAATATCAATTAAGAGTATCGGTCGCGCGTTAATCGCGAGCGATCGATCGTGTCTCTTTCGGCTTCGGCCGAAGAGTGATTTACGGCGGTGGCTTTTACTTGTTTTCGCATGTTTAAAAGTTTAATCTATGCGCGCTATGCAATTAATGTACATAATTAATCATCGAAACAAAGTTAAGCTCCCGCATTAATGAAAAATGTAATTCCGAGCTTATAAAAAACGTCGAAGTACCGCGCGCACGGGGCAGAGAGAGAGAGAACAGCCTCGCTCTTCCTGAAATAATCCTCGATACATTAATCACAAAGAGGATTTATTACTTAGAGCCGGACAGATAAATATTATGCTCCGAGGTTAATACCTAAATGGACCATCAGCGCGCATTATTATCGATGCTTCCCCGCGATTTTCGTCGACGTTTTATCAAATCCGCGCTCTCGACGTACGCGGATTTCACGGTCCGCCGAAGTGCATATAATAATTAATTTTATTGCCGCGTAATCAGCGGTCGTTTCAGATAAGACTGAAGTATCGAACTCGAGTATTCGCGAGGAGATAACGAGCGACGAAAAGGAGAGAACGTACGCGATACACAACACGAGCCGCCGTCGTCGTGGTATCTCTCTTTCTCTCCTATCTGTCCTCCAATCGATATACGCGCGTTTTCCTCACGTGATTTATCGAGCGTGTCCAGCGATTTTCGCCAAATTTCTCCAAGATTTAATTCGCGATACAAACATATCAAATCCGCCACAATATACGCGCGATACATTTACTCGTTACTCGATCGCGCTCGCGCGCGTCTACCAGCCACTCGTATTGACTTGTATTTGTACCCTTCACGAGGTACGCGTAGGTGTGTGCGTGCATGCGTGTTGGGCTGGCCGTTGGTACGCGTGTGTATGTGGGTGTGTGCGCGCGCGCGGAGGCGAACTGGAGTGCGGAGAACGTGGAAGGAGGAAGAGTAAACGAGGGGAAGAGGGACGGAGCGGGTTTCTACGAGATCGAGAGACAAAGTAGGGGATATAGCTCGAAAAGAGACGAAACGGGTTTACGAGAGAGGGAGACGGAGATACGCCGGGAGTGTAGGCAGAAACCGGCGAGATTGAGAGAGAACGGAAAATGAGTAGGGTAAGAGGAAGCGAGACGGAGGGAGAGAGAGAGAGAGAGAGAGAGAACCGGACAGAGACAAAGTGTACGTAAAACAGAGATAGAAACGGAGAAGGCACGCATCGGAAAGCGTCGGTGCGACGGAGAGAACGATAGTACGTGGCGGAGACGCGAGTAGGACGGACGCAGGGATGGATACGCGTTATACGCGCGAGAGAGAAGGCGAAAAATAGGAATATATGCAAGACAGCGAGAAAGAGAGACGGACGGAAAGAGCGCCGAGCGATCGGCCGGGCGGGCCGGCGGTGGAGGAGGAAGAGGAGGAGGGAATGAGAGGAGAGGAGAGGTAGAGACGAGTGTGCACCAGCGAGATAGAGAGCGTGGAAGGAAGATAGTGGGTGTGTGTATGTGTGCGCGCGCGGTGAACGCAGATAGAATGTGTGTGCGGAGGGACGAGGAGGCGGCAGGTGAAGGGGTACGCAGGCGCACGTGAGTATGTTACGGGGATGGCCAGAGGGCAGCTAACGTTTATAATATTAACGCTAATGGACTACCTTATACCTTATATACCGACCGACCCCTCGCTAGCCTCCATCCTCAGACCCCCTCGCCTCCCTCCACGTTACGTCTCCAGACACCCTCCTCAGTCCTCGGCGAAGTACAGGATAATATTCATGGATGTATTCGAGCTAATGCACCAAGGCGTCCGCCGCGGTAATAACGTCGCTAAACTCGCGAAAGTAACCAGTCGCGAGTCTCTGATTTTTAATTATTTTATTATTATAGAGTCGCGTAACACGTGCGCGCGCGGCCGCGCACGCCTACGCGAACACGAGCTTGCGGCAGCTCGGTTCGATTTTTGCAGACCGTCTCTGGACGTCGAAGCGAACTCCGCACAATGCGACCATTAAATCTATTTCATTAATGCGTCGGTGGGTTGCGCTCGCAATCTGTTTAAAACGGATTACGCGCGCGACGTTTCACCAGGTTCTTGAATATTTTATTAAGATCCTCTGCCCCTCCCCTCTCCTCTTTTCCCCACTCTTCGTTACTGTACTCATTTCATCAAACATGCGGAATATGTAATATTCGCGTGTTCGGTATTTTCTTCATTTTTTTATTATATATTGTGTGTGTATATATATATTCATATACACAAATATATATATATATATATATCTGTGCGCGATACGCACAGGGAGTTGCCGCAGCAATTCCGCGGCGGCCGCGTAAAAACTTGTCAATTCCATATGGCGCGGGGTCGTACGGCCCACCTGTCGCGAATCTCAATCCACCAGTCACCCCGTAGAGCACTCCGGGATAATGTATGGTAACGGAACACCTAAGTAAAAGCCGTCTCGCGTATGTGAGTTCAACATCGGTGAGCACTCGGGCGCGCGGACGTGTGCGTGCCAGACAAGTTGGGTCGCATTAATTCGCCAAGTTCGTCTATCGTCAATTTCTAATGTCCGCCTCCACCTGGTCGTGCTATTTTATTTCATTCGCATGGTGGCCCGGCAGACGATGAGGCACAGAGAGAGAGAGAGAGAGAGAGAGGGAGAGAGAAAGACAGAAAAAAATACGGCGACTATTTGCTCGTCGCGATAATAGCGATAAACTTTCTGACATTGTTTGTGTTTTCTTGAGAGCAATGTTATTTTATCGGTAACGAAACACGCGCGACTCTTAAAAATATTTATTGTTTGCGCTACCTCTCTCTTTCTCTGACGCTCTCGCGAATGCAGCTATTCGCGTTACTCGAATAAATCTCGTTTTTTCTAAATGAGAGCGAAATGTTAACGCGATGATCGAAACGGAAGCTGCCGCGATAATTCGGTCGTCGAGGTTTCCGCGCGAGGATATCCGCATAATCGACCGCATCGATTACGGTTTTCCCCTTCTTAATTAAAACGCGACGTCAGAATATATATATGTATATAGACACGTATATATTAGACAATTTATGGACGACTGTAAAATGCTCTCGTGAATTCCTAACTGCGAGATAAATATATCAGGGAGTTTCTAAGTATATTAGGAATACATTGCCTTTGCTGAATTATTCGAGTGCTTTCAAGAAATTGCAGGATGCATTAGCTTACATTACGGCAGTTCCATTACATTATGAATATTACTCCGTATATTGATGAGAAGAGGGGAGACGGAGATATAGGGCTCGCGCGCACTTCTCTCTCTCTCCCCCTCTCTCTCTCTCTCTCTCTCTCTCTCTCTTTTGCTCTCGGTATATATGAGACTCGCGGTGCATTTTATTATTTCTAACATTCCGCATGCGTCGATATCGCCGCTCGCGCCCGGTCGATTAATAAAACGTAGCGGCGGCTACGATTGCGATAACGGCAACAATATCATCGTGCGCACCGATATTATAGATATTCCGAGTAACTTG